AAAATATATTGCTCCCAAATTGTTAATTTGAAAAAAAAGTAAAAAAAAAGACAATTATTTCGAGATTGAGGGAGTAGCATTTAATATATTATTAAAATAAAAAATGTGATAACCAAATGAGATCACTCTTACTTAAAAAGTAGAATAATTAAATTCGATAAGAGAGAGTATCATTTTTTGTTTATCTCAAATTAATTGTTATTTTTTAATTTTTTAAAGTAAATAAATATTTTTTTCCTACTTTAACACCATTGTTATTTATTTACTTTAACTAGTTATCCTATTACAAAAAGTTTATCTTTATCTTTTATCCCTTTTAAAAGATAATACAGATAAATAAATGGGAAAAGTGTATATCAGTCCCAACTTTCAAAATAAATTGGAATTCTAACCTTAAATTACATTGTTTTATTTATTTAAAACTCAATTTAAAATTTAAAAATTTATTTTATTATATGTTGATATTTAGATTTAAAAACTAAGTATATTAGATTATATAATTGGTTTATAAATTAAGTATCAACATTTAATAAGGTAGGTTTATAAGTTTTAAATTGAGATCTTAGTTTTTAAATATAAATTAGGACTTTAATTTTTTTGAAAGTCAGGATTAATATGCATTAATCTCTAAATAAATTTTTCTAAATAAATTTTTTCCTAAATTAAGCAATTTAGAGAAAAAAAATCAAAAAACTATAATTATTATGGAACAAATCGAGTAGTTAAAAAATGATAGAGAACAGGGCTAGAAAATCGATCCAACATAATGTATCAATAGAATAATATCAATAGCGAAAAAAATGACATAAAATCTATGAGCAAATCTTCTTACTATTAGGTATTTAAGCATATATCTAATCTTTCTTCTTTCTTTCTTTCTTTCTTTCTTTCTCTTTTTTTTTTTTCACAATGAGAGACAATCATTTCACATCTCTTATCACATCTCTTATCTCATCTCACCCGCATACTATACGACTCGAATTCAGAATCTTTTACTTCCAACGGAAAGAGATGACCCACATATATCTAAGTGGTTAGATGATGGGCAATAAAATGCCAAAACTACCCTTTGAATCCTTTGTATAAAGGACTTGAAATGACAAAAATGGTGCTGCAACAATCCTTGGGAAGTTTGATTATCGATTAACTTTTTGTTTTAATGGATTACTTTGTTATTGATAATTAACTATTTAGTATTTATAATCAACTATAATACTCATTACAAATTTAAAAACAACTTAATTTTCTATTACAATTGGAAGATAACCAATTACTCACCAAATGCATCAAATGAATGTTATAAGCAATTATAATTCACAATACTAAATAATTGATTGTTGAAGATTATAACCGATTACATCTCCTCTATTATATAATTGATTATATGATAATTTTTACTTCAAACATTTCACAATGTTTTTTTAAAATAACCAATCACATAATTTTAAGAATACTAGACAAATTTTACAAGCCACCAAACACAAAAAAATTTCTTTCCTATGTATAAATATCCAATCAAAGTGTTTCTTGATAAAGTTTTTTTACCTAGCAAAATTTGCATAGCCAACCAAACAAGCTCTACAAGAGTAAAAAACCCTATCCCTAGGAGACATTGCTTTGACATTCTAGTGTACTTCGTTTCTTAAGAGCTTGTTTGGTTTAAGGTAAGCCTTGTGAGGGGAATAGAGGGAAGGGGAGGAAGAAAAACTTTTTTATTTGGATAGAACAGTATAGAGAAGAAAGAAGTGAAGGGGATGGAAGAGGCTTTTCCTCATTTTTCTTTAATTTCCTTTGCATCTTAGTGTGTCCAAATGAGAGAAAGCTAGGGAAAGTAGGCCTTCCCCTCCCTTCCCCTTCATTTCCTTAAACCAAACAGACATGAGAAATGTTCATATTGTAAATATTCTTGTTTTGAAATTAAATAATTCAAAGAAAAATAGAAGAACAATTTTTTTATGTGAACAAATAGATCAAATTAAAGTGAATATAGTTTTTATTGTGATATCACACTATACAGTATTTATTATGTGACTTTAGACTTTAGAACACATGATTAGAAGTAAAAATGGTTACTCTCTCCATCCCAAAATAACTATTGTTTTTTACTTTGAATTTGTTCTAAATTAATTGTCATTTTCTTAAAGGTAAATAAATAATTTTCCCTACTTTAATCTTATTATTATCTATTTATTTTGATTAATTATCCTATCACAAAAAGTTTTATTTTATCTTCTAACTTTTTTCTAAGGGTATTATAGGTAAATATATAAAATCTCCAAATTCTTAATTTAAAGAAAAAGTAAAAAAATGACGCTTATAAAAAGCAATGAGTGGTACTATATGATTATTACCTTTATATTAAAAATATAAAAATTAATTTTCCTTTTGAATTGATTTATTAATAAGTTTAACCTTAATTTAAAATAAGTTAATAAAAATAAACATGTGAAATATGTGATTTAAATTAATGTTAATTTTTATATATTTTTTAATATAAAAAGTAAAAATCATCAACTAATCATTGAACCTACAGAAAAACTGAAAACATTTTAGTATTTGAATAGGTAACAAAGTAAAGGGAAAGAAATGGAGAAAAGTCACTTTTAATAAGGAAATGCTTTTTGTATAATTTTTTTATCTCACTTTTTTTATATAATTTGATGTATCATTAACCTGATATATCATTACAATAATTGGTTCTTTTCATTTATATGAGACTCATTATATTGATTGCATTCACTTATTTAATAATACGTAAAAGTTGTATAAAAAAGTGAAACAAAAAAGTTATCACTATAACACTAGTTCTTTTAATATACTCTTTTCATTTAAGTGTAATTATCTTACTTTGTCTTTATGAATTTTTGAACATTATTTTAAATAAAAATTTAGTAAAGAATATGAATAATAGTAAAATATTTTTTTTCATCATGTAGTTTTTATTAAGTAATTTTATTTAATCAAAATAACTTTTATCATTTATGTATTGTATTAAATTTTCGTTTAAAATTAATATCAAATAAGTAAAAAAAAAAAAATCAAAGCAATGAACTAAAGTTGATTAGAGGTACTTCCTCTAACTTATAATTAATTGTCATTTTTTTAAAATTAAGAATTAAGGAACAATTGATGTATTTATTTATATTATTTTTAAAAATAAAAAATAAAAAAATTATGATAGAATAATTAATCAAAATGAATAATTAAAGATAAAATTAAAATAAAATAAATTTATTTAATTTAAAAAATAAAAATAATAATAATTAATTTAGACAAGCTTAAAATAAAAAAAATATTAATGAGTTTAAAATAGAGGGAATAATAAGATTTTATTCTATATTAAATTTTTATCAAGGATGAGGTCCCAATATTTTTGAAATTGACATGACATAGAAAGAAATAAAATAAATTTGAAAAAAAATAAAATGCTGCTTCCCAAACTTGGAGGGCAAAATATAATTAATGTGAAAAGCTTCAGTCCGGCTGGCCGGCCAATATTTCGGTACATCCAATTAACATCGTTGAATAGTCTTCGATTTATTTGCCTATCAAAAAGTCCAAAAAAAAAAAAAAAAAAAAAAAAAAGGGGTCTTCGATGTATGTTCTTTTGGACAGCCTAGTACGAACAATGTTACAAAATAAATTGTCACGTTATATACCATATTTTCCGTGTTAAAATAATAAAATTTTTTTATTAAAATTTATTTTAAAATTATAAATTTTTAAAATTTAACAAGAAATTAATATTTTTTTATTAAACTTTGGTATTATCTTTTAATTTTAATTATTTTCTTAT